CCCACATGGGAGGTGTTGCAGGTGCAGCAGTGTGGGGGGATGCTCTATGTGGGGTGGGGATGGTAATAGATTCTGGGGCAGCAGATCCTGGGGGGGCAGAGGATGCTGGGGGGGGGGCAGAGGATGCTCGCGGAGGGCAACAGATCCCTGGGAGAGGGATTGGAATGTGCTGACAACAGCCTCCCAGGACAGGAGAAGATTTGGGGGGTGCGCAGGGGCAACCCCCGGGGGCACCAGACCCCCAAGGAGGGTCAGCATGGCCCCCTGGCACAGGGGAGGGGGGGATGCTGTGCCATCAGGGCACCCTGTGGGGTGGGGACAGGACGGACAGACCAGGACTGGCATTAGGGGCAAACCCGCTGGGTCTGGTCCTGCTGTGGGGCTGAACTCTCAGTCCCAGTGGGTGTAGGGGTGGGGAGGAGGGTGCCTGGGACACCCCGCAGTGGCCTCCCCCGCGGTCACGGGGCACCCGTCTGCTCCGTCCCGTTCCCACAGCTCCCTCAAGGCGGTTTTTCTCGGCGCGCTGGCAGCCTGCCCGCTCCCGCTCCACCAGCCCTTTGTGTCCTGATGGTTTTTGGCAGCAGGGTTTTTGCTTGGGTTTTTTTTTTTCCGTCACTCCCATTCCCAGATGCAGCTGAGTCACCTCCCAAATTCGCACCCACGAGCCTCCCCCCCCGGGAGCCGGGGCTCCGAGCCCCATGTGGTGCTGCCGCCTTGGGCACTGCTGCCTCGAGTGCGTGGGGCCTCTGCACGCTGCAGGCAGATGGGAGTCTGTGGGGCTCGCAGCGTCGTGGCATCCCCGTGTCTGCGTGGGGCATTTGGAGACCTTGGAAGGGTTTGTTTTTTCCAGGGGAGAGCCCGGGGGCTGCGGACACTCTGGTGGGGAGCACAGTGGCAGCCCCGAGCCAGCTCCCACTCTCTTGTGGGCTCTTGGAAAAGCCTTTTGCTGGTGTTATTAGTCATCAGGAGCCTTAAAATAGAAAGCGTGTGTGATCCCAGCCCCGAGGAGCTGTCGGGCCTCGGCAGCCGCTGCTTAATGTCACTGCACAGCCCCTGTGGCTGCTCTCTGCCACCACCCTCACGCTGTGGGGTGGGAAGGATGGATGGGGAAAGCGCCTGTCCCCCCCCGTTGCCATGCACTGGGCTGGGGGCTGAGCATCAGGAGCTGCTCTGTTTGGGGGATGCGATGCCCTCCTGGGTCCCAAGGGACCTGTCCTCGTGACGGGCAATGGCTGGTGCTAACAATAGCGTGTCAGGAAACGTCGCGTTTGGACGGTGCTTCCTTTGCAGCCACGCAACACCCCGTGCTCCTGAGCTGGTTTGCTTGGCCCCTAATGAGGAGCCCCCAGGGGACTCAGCACCGCGTTTCCGAGAGCTCCAGATCTGCCCTTCCGCAGTCCCAGGTGGAATTTTTTTCCTAGCCTGGAGATACACGCTAAGAGCAGGCGGCTGAGCTGTGCTTGCTGCAGTCGCTGCCCCATGGTTTTTGCCTTCAAGTTCCTATTTTACTTGGTTGGTGCTGGGAGCAGGGTAGGGATCGTGGAGCTGGGCACGACCTTCTGCAGCCTGGCTGCTCCTTTGCTTTTCCAACCGAGTGAGAAAGGATGTTCACAGGTTGGACGTTGCAGGGGAAGAGAAGAGGGAAACAACTCACAATTCCCCTTGCACCCTTCCCCCCAAGCCTGAGAGCAAGGTCGTGGTCAGAGAGTGAGATGTGGGTCCCCAGCTCCTCCCTGCCGCTGGGATAGGGGAGCACAGCTCAGTGTTTGTCCTTTTTGTCCCCAGGCCCAACAAGCCAAATTTCTAAGCGATGTGGAGAACGAGCTGGAGGAGCTGGCAGTCACCATCGCGCAGGCCAAGAAGATGGTGGAGCTCATTAAGGTGACTCTGCAATGGCTTCTTTCCGTTAGCACAGCTCTGCTGGGCTGGGGAGCAGAGGTGAAGGGGCCGTGAGATTCTGGGCTGTGTGGGGTATAGAGGTGGTGCTCAGAGGGGAGCAAGTGCCCTGTAAAATGATGGTGACCCTGGCAAGGATCCTTGTTTCTCGTCTCTGTTAGCCCTCACGGCATCTCTGGTTGCTTTCATTTGCAACCTGGAAGGAGGAATGGGGCAAGAACCACACTAGGGCATCCCCTGGCTCTTCCACCTTCTCTACCCAGGCTCACAGGGGGTTTGGTCCCCTTTGGCCCTTGTGCAAACATGTCACTTCACCACCTGGAGACACAAGACATGATGGAGCAGTAAGAGACCATGCCCAGCCAGGTCCCTGGACACCTGGATTGTAAAGTGCTCTGAGTTCTTGGATGAAGGGTGCTACGGAGTGTCAGGGGGACCCCACAGAGCTCCGAACTGGGTGCTGGGCAGGAGACGAGGGTGCTCTCCTTGCCTGCAGGAGGTCACCCTCACCCCTCTCTCCCTGTGCTCAGGGTGCTGCCACGAAGGAGAGGGAAAGAGTTGAGAAGCTCTTTGGAGAAGCCTCCGAGGTCCTGTCGACCTTCCAGAAGGAGGTGGCCAGTTTCATCGAGGACGGGGAGCGCTCCATGCTGGGGGAGGCCGAGGCCGATCTGCGCTGGAAGGAGGAGAGGCGAGCCAAGCTGGCCCAGTGCAAGCAAAACCTGGAGAATGTCCCCAGCACCGACACCATCTACTTCCTCCAGGTGCCTGGGTGGGATGGGGCGAGGAGAAGGAGCTGATAATGTTGTCTTTTGGGGTTTTGTCCCATTTCCCGTGGAGCTGGGTGGGAGGAGCCCTGGGATACGGGGGCTGTGGGGGCTCACTCCCGTTGGCACAGTCATTCCCCGGGGACACCAGCCAGCCAAGACTTTCTCCTCCATCACCCCACCTCCGTGCTGGCGGTGACTCAGGAGAAGCTGATGTGCTGCCTGGGCTGGGTATCTCGGTGTGGGGGGCAGAGAGTGAGAGGTGCCCCATTGCCCCCATCCAGCACCTCCCCCCTCAGCAGCCCAGCAAGAGGAGACCTTTTTGGGAGGAGATGCTGCTCCATGCGAGGTGGGAACGGTCTGAGTCCAGGTTTGCAAGGGAGTGAAGAGAAGGCGCCAGAAACGCGTGGCCGGGAAAGCTCTCTCCTCCCTTTTGCAAGGTTGTCCTTGGGCCAAGTCCTGCGAGCTGCCAGTTCCCAAATCCTCTGGGGCAGGGTGGGGTTGTGGAATAAGAGACAACTTCAGCTTGTTTGAAACCTCCTGGAACTCCCCTCTTTTTTTTGGCTCAGGAATTTCAAGCCTTAAAAGTAGCCATGGAAGAAAACTTCTCCCCGGTGCTGAGTTTCCAGAAGGAGCTGAACTTCACCAAGTGCACCCAAGCCGTGAGCACCATGAAGGACGTGCTCTCCGCTGCCTGCAAAAACCAGTGGGACCACTTGCAGGGGAAAGGAACGGATGGGCTGAGTTTCCAGGAGACAGGGGAAGGTTTGTGCTCACCCAGCCCCTCTGCCTGGAGGTCACCCCGTCTCCCTCCATCCTCCCCTGCGTAGGTGGGAGATGTCTGCAGGCTCGGTGGCTCCTGCGAGCGCTGGCCCCCTCTCCATCCAGCCCTGGAAGCTGCCTGGGAGGGTTGTGCTGCACGTTGCACAATCCCTGTCTGGGTTTATGCCTCGTCTTTGAGGTTTTATGATTTTTTTCCACGGAGACCGGAGACTGGAGAGGCAACAAACAGGCTGGGAGTTAAGGCAGGGCCCTGTGGGAGGGGGCAAGTGGCCAAAGTGGCCTCCCGTGAAAGGGGACTCTTTCTTCCCAGCATAGATGAACCTCTTCACGGGGCAGGCTGTGGTCTCCCAAACCTGCCAGGGTTAGAAAGCCACCGTGGCAGCTTTCTCCTGCACTCTGTCATTTAGCCTGAGCTCTCTCCTCTCTCTCATTTTCTCGAATGCCCAGGGGAATTGCAGCTGGTTCCTTGTCCCCCTGCCCAGCTCCCTGGGGTGGCAAAGGTGGCATCTGTGCTTTCCCATGTCCGAGCCCACAGGAGTGTGCAGGGGATGCCAGCTGGGACTCGGGGGCCACAGCAGCTGGGTACCACCAGGGGTGTCGGGCGGGGAGGTGATGCTTCAGTAACACCTTTGTTTGAGGCATCAAAAACGTTTCTTTGCTGTTGGCAAACCCTTCTGTCCCTTTCCCTGCAGCGCCGGCCGAGTCCCGATTTCCAGACAAGTCAAACAATCTCGCCTGCCTGGAGAGCCGTGATTACTTCCTGAAATGTAAGCGAGGGACAGTTTTGCTTTGACAGTTGTTGCTAAGGTCCATCTTCCCTTTCCTCTCCCCTGCCCAGCCGGCTCCTTCCCACATGCCCGGCCGGCGCTGGTCCCCAGCCCAGGGCTGGCAGGAGCGCTGCCGCCACCGGAGGAAATATTGCTCAGCCACGGAGGAAGCCTCCTTGCTTTCCTGACAATGGTCATAATCTGTTTAGGTGATATTTTTTTTCCCCTTGTCTGTGGTTCTGCCGGACCAGCTGCAGGCGTACCGTGTAATTTCTGCTGCTTTCCAGCCCTTAACAAGCTGAATCCTCTGTTAAATTAGATCAGAGTTTGCACGTCTGCCTTGTTTGCTGCAGAGCAGGGGATGGATGAGGGGCAGCTTCTGGAGCAGGCGAGGGATAATTCAGTGGCTGAGCAGAGACAGTGGGGCAGAAGGGGCTGAGACTTGGGGTGGGGAGCAGGGCTTGGTTGGGCTCCAACACCCCGTGTGTCCCCCCCAAGCCTTACAGAGGATGTGGCGTCACCGACTGAGATGTCCATAAGGAGAGAAGATCTCCCAACATTCTCCAATGTGTGGTATCATGGTTGAGCTGATACCCAGTTACCTGTGTTCATCCCACTTACGGGAGCATCAGCTCTTTCAGCCCCTTACCCTCATCAGCTGAAATTGGCCACGGGATTTAAAAGCAAAGGGACAGAGTGATGGTAGAAGTCAGAAAGGATCGTGCCCATCACCGAAGACTGGAACAGGGGCTCAGAGCGGGGAGGGCTGGGGGTGGATTTCCTCCCATTTCCCTCCTCGTCCTCACACCTCCTTCTTGCCCCACGCAGTTGCCTTCATCATTGACCTGGACAGTGACACGGCTGACAAGTTCATCCAGTTGTTTGGCACCAAAGGGGCCAAGCGGGTGCTGTGCCCCATCCCCTACCCCGAGAGCCCGACCCGCTTCATCAACTGCGAGCAGGTGCTGGGTGTGAACCTCATGAATCGGGGCAACTACTACTGGGAGGTGGAGATCATCGAGGGCTGGGTCAGCATCGGTGTCATTGCTGAGGACTTTGACCCCCGGGTGTCCTACAACTGTGGGCGCCTGGGGAGGAACGAGAAGTCCTGCTGCCTGCAGTGGAACGGACAGAACTATGTGGCCTGGTTTGGCGGCTTAGAGTCCGTCATCCAGCAGCCGTTTTTCCACACAATCGGGGTCTTCCTGGAGTATTCGGAGAAGGCCCTGACCTTCTACGGGGTCAAGGACTCCAAGATGACCTGCCTGCGGCAGCTCAAGGTCTCCCCTTTGGCCAAGGGTCAGTCTGACCCCTTCCAGATCAAGATCAACCGCCAATTCGCCTCTCTTTTCGTGTGCAAGCTGAAACCAGCCTTCTTCCTGGAGAGCGTCGATGCCCACCTGCAGATCGGGCCACTGAAGAAAGATTGTGTTTCGGTGCTAAAGCGTCGGTAACCGCCCGGGGAGCGGGAGCACAGGACAACCCAGAAGAGTCTCTCCTGTGTGTGTTGTCTCCCTCACAGCTTCCCTTTGGTAGCGTTGTATTTCTCTGTGGCAGCCCTCCCTCCCCACTGGGTGCTGTTGGTGGCCCAGGGGTGGGTGACACTGGCCAGCGGGCAGAGCCCCCGGGCTGGGAGCCAGGCGGGAGCAGGATCCAAGTGCCATCTCTGCTGCTGGGCCACTGAGCCAACTTGGGCGAGTCTCTGTGCTGCTCCCTGCCCTTCAGTTTCCCTTTCTGGACATGAGGGACGGGGAGACAGCCTTTCTTGGTAAAGCCCGTCGCTCAGGAGAAGCGCCGTGTAGATTTGAAGCTGTGCCTTGGCCAGCTGCCGGGCTGCCAGGTCCCTCTCCTTATTTTCTGCTCTCACTGCCCTGGCGACTTGCACGGATGCTCTGCTTTGTGCCTTATCTCCATCTTTGTGTCGCTGCTGCTTTTTAAAGCTCCGGCTCATCGCCACCTTCCACGTGCTCCTTATGAAGTGCCTTGGAAGTAGCAAGCCTGGCACGGACCGGGCAAACCCCAAAGCTGATGTGGTTGCTTCCCCAGTGCCCGCATCGCTGTTGTGCCTTGGTGTGGGTGAGCAGGGTGCTCCGGGGTTGGGAGGACACAGTGGGGACCAGGGGGGACACAGTGTGGACTGGGGGGATGCAAAGGAGCCTGGCTGGGTTCAGGAGTGATGCTGCGGTGACCTCTCCCCACAGGGCTGACCACCAATTAGTGCTGGAAACGTGAAACGAGCATCTTTGCCCTCCCTCGTGGGTATTTTGATCACTGGCCTGTGGCTGGGCATATTTGGGAAAAGCCGTGGTCCCGCTTGTGTTGGAGCCCTGTGGCTGGGGGGGTAGTTCCCCACCACAGCCCAAAATCCCAGCTGGGAAAGGGGAGAAACCTCCAAGCGAGAAGCAGCAGCACCATTCCTGCCCTCAGAGGGCGAAGGGAGCAGCACAAAAGAGTTTTGAGGACGTGCTTTTAGAAAACACATTCCTCGGGAACTGTTTATAGAAGCTTTACAGCTTCCCCCCACGTTTTTGATGACCCTCCTATTTTAGGGGGGTTTTAATATTAAACTCCCAGCTCTTAAAGTAGCCTGGGCACACTGGAGCTGTACCCCTCAGCTTAGAGAGCTTTTTTAAGTGACAAAGAGGTGCTGTGAGTATGTCCCAGGGACAAATGGATTGTTGTAGGGACAGCTGTGAGTGCATCAATAAAAGGTGCAGCCTCAGGCAGTTATCGAATGACCCTTTAGATTCTGGCAATAAGTAACAATTAACAAAAAACTACTCTCAAGCAAGTGTCCCCTCCAGGAAAGGTGGAAACTTGAGGCTGAGAGCCAAAAATGCCAGTTCACGTGTCCTAAGGGAGCTTTTCCAGAAGCAAAATAGAGAAATGCCGCCTGTAAGGGCGGCACAGTGCAGCCCCTGTCTCGGCGCAGCGTGCCTTTCCACAAGTTTATTTTTCCTGGGATTAGGTTGCTACCTACCTCCCGAAGCTCGCTTTACAGAATTGTAGTGCTGTGTAATATATACCTAGAGAGAAAATATATTGGGTCCGTTTCTTTGCTGGCGTGAGTGAGTCAGCGGTGACGCATCAACAGTCAACAGGGATGGAAAATGGCCCATTTAGCTAAATATATGAAATATGTACATATTCCCCAAAGGATAAGCTGGAATTCATAGTGCTGTATTCAGGGGGAGCCAAGGGAAAAAAGTGAACGTGAATAAAAAGGCAGCCACAAAGCCGAGAGGTTTAAAGTTAAAGCCACGTTTACATAAACACTGGGGCTTAAAGAGCTGCTTTACTGTAACTCGTTTGCCAGCGCTGCCAATTAATGCTGGTGCCAAGAGCTGCCGGTCCCCAGCCATCGGCCACCGCTGGGGGCTCTCCTTGGAGGGGCTGAAGGGTCCGATCACAGCTGCCCCCTCCCCAAATTTCGGAGAGATTTGAGGGCTTGACCAGGACAGGGCTGGAGAGTGGGTTCTGGGAGGGGAACCCCTGGGATGTGCCTACAAATCCCTCCTCTTCCTCCTCCTCCGCACGCGGCGACTCCTAAAATCCCGCCGGCGGTGGGAAAAGGGGAGGTAGGGCTTCCAGAGTGAAACCTTCGGATGAAATCTTGGCCTTTCCCAGCCAGCCAGCGGGAACGCTGCCCGGACTTCTGTCCAGATGGGAATTCACTCCCCGTCTCCGCAGCTCCTGCCTCAAAACCGCTTTGTTTGGCTCCCGCCGGTCGCTCCCCTGCAAATCTCAGCCCTCGCACGAGCTGTCAGCGTGACACAGCCCAGGCCTCGCCCCTGTTTTCTTAACACGGGCGAGGACTGGGGCTCAGAAATGCCTTACCAGATAAAAAAGGTAGGGACGTGACACAGCCCCCCTGCGTGGGCACATCCCGGGAGGAAGAGGAAGGTACCCGTGACCTCTGCTGCACGCCTGCAGGAAGAGATGTCGCAGGCGGGCTCCTGCCTCGGCTCTGTCTGGGCCCTAAATCTCATTTATTCCGGCAAAACTCCCACCATTCGTGGCCAGGAGTTTTTGCCAGAGTAAATAGAGCGGATCCAGGCCTTTGCCCCATTTCTTTTCTCCGTAGGCGGACAGATTGCTCCGTGGGGAATGCCGTGCTCTAGCCACCCATCCCTCCCTTCTCTCTGAGCTCCCTCAGGGTTCGGGATGGTTCGGTGGGATCCCACGCCTTTCCCTTTCCATCCTGTAACCAAGGCGGGAGCAGCTCAGGAGGACACGTCGGGTGTTGGGGTTTTGCTGCTGGTTGTGCTGCTGCTTTTGCTTAATTCGCCTTAATTCCCAGCCCCCAGAGCTGGGATGCTGATACGCAGCTTTTCGGAGGGATTTGAGGGCTCGACCAACCCTCTCCTTCCCACTGCCTGCTTTTATCCGGGTGGGAAGCTCTCTAAATCCTCATGGTTTAGGGCATGGAGCAAATTCTGACCCATTTAAGGCGGGAGCAATCCTCCCACCCGGGGAGTTGGACCAGAGTTTGCTCTGGGTTGCCAATAATTTGGGGTCTAAACTGGAACGATTAGGAAATGTGCACTCTGCCAGCTCTGGATCGCTGCAAACGGAGGGCTAAATGCGGTGTGTGGTGAGTTTAGATGGACAGATAGCCTTGGCAATTTAAATTCCATGTTCCCTTGAGTTATTTCTGCTGTCACAGAGTGTTCCTCTTTTCAATTAGGATTTTTTTAAATCGAGTTACTGTAGAGTATTTTACATGTGTGAAAAATACAAACTGTAACAGAATAATATAATGATGTTAGAGACTATGATTTACCATTAAATATTACATCGCTCTGGGTTGTTCTTTCCTTTAAATACTAAACTGCTAGAGCTGTCCCATTATCTCATGTTTATTTTTCTGCGTCCTGTACATCTGGGGTAAAATAACACAGATTTTATTTTCCAAGCATGTCTAAGGGAATCGCGCCAAATACACGTTTCTATTGCTCGACTGCAAAAGGAGCGGAAGAATCCTAAAATCCAATAACAATATTGTCAGCCCTGGGCAATTTAAAACAATGAATTGTTTTGAATTCTCTTGTACCTCTGCCCTCAGCTTAGAAATAACAAAGATGAGCAGATTAGGCACTTTTTCCTCAGTGTTTTCAGTTTTGAGTATAAATTTCCAAGGTTTTCTGTGTGACGAGGTCTGGAGCTTCCCAGGCGCGCTGGCACTCACGCTGGCACCTTTTTTAAGTAAAGGCTGAATTTCTTAATACCAAATATCAGCTGGAGCTAGGAGAGAAAAAAAACAAACAGTATTGGGCGAGTCTTAGTTCGTGCGAGGTGGCGGCGCTTCACTGGAATCCGAGGGCATGTTTGCTACTGACTTTAATAGGAGAGGAATCAGGGCTGTTTGTTATAACCACTTCTTAAAAGGGAAACTTACAGCTTATTGAAAAAAAGCGGATATGAAAAGCACAAACTTGCTCTTTTCTTGCCAAGAACTCTACAGATTATGTCACTGCATTTGTTTAAATCTGTTTTCCATTATGTAGTTTTTCTGCTTTTCCCTCCCCGCTCCCCCCCCGCACCCCATCTGGTCCTCAGGCACTCAGACAGGGCTGGGCTGCAAAAGCTGCAAGGAAAAACTCAAATCCATATAAAAATATATACTTTAAGGTAAAAAAGGATATAAGTTAGGGTAATATATGCTCTTAATATATATTTGTACGTTATTTATATACAGTTGTCAGTTATTGATATGAGGAGCCTGTCAAAACAGATGACTAGTTTCATAGGGCTTCTACTTTTAATGAAATTATGTTATCATTAATTTTTTAAGAGTTCCTCCTGCTTCCACACCTGGAGGCAGGAGATTAGACCCTTACTGTAGCTCTGCAAACACCACAGGTATTTTTCTGCTCCCAGATTTGCTCCCTCCGGACAGACGGACAGGGTCTTGCCTTGTTTATAGAGCAACTGGTTAATCCCTCCAGTTTAACACTCTCCAATATAAAAACGGGTAGTTTGAAGATGGGATTGATTCCAGCACGGAGAGCAGCCAATACCAGGCTCAAAAATCCATTTGCAAGTGTGCAAAGCATGAAACATGTATCAAATGTGAAATAAAAAAAAATGGTTGGAAACGGAGCAGGAATCTTTAAGGGGCTACACCTCATTTTATGTGCATCTCCATCACATATGTGGGATGATTTTTATTCTGCTCTACCCAACATCTGAATTCTGCCCTGCCCGCCTCCTGAGCGTCCAATTTTGTCTCCATTTCACTTAATTCTGGGCTTTTCCCAGGGAGATCCCGCCAAGCAGCGTTAAAATCACTTTGTGGTTGCATGGGACGCACAAACACCCCCTTCTCGCATGCAAAACTGGCCAGCCTCCGAGGGAAAATGTTTTACCCACTAGTGAACCGGCCAGGAAGTGTCTTCAGGATAAAAAATGAGGTGAAAACAGCAGCAAAATACAGCATTTTAAAACAAAATGTTGATTTGAATGCCATCTTCATGCCCTGCAAACTCCCACCCGCAAAGCGCCACTATTCTGGGGTGCCCTTGTGGGCAGAAAAGCCAGAAAAACTGCTGCCAAGATCAGGCAGGGTCTAAATAAATCTTATTATTATATAGGATGAGCAGGACACGTAATCAGATGACTAATGGGTTTATAAGCATGCCGGAGAGCTCTCCCAAAAAGGAGACTGGCTCTTTGGATTAGTCCTACTCCACTCCATCCAGCCTGGCCTTGAACCCCTCCAGGGATGGGGCAGCCACAGCTTCTCTGGGCAACCTGGACCAGGCTCTCATCACCCTCAGAATAAAGAATTTCTTCCTGACATCTCATCTAAACCTACCTTCTTCCAGTTTGAAACCATTACCCCTCATCTTATTGCTCTACTCCCTTGATCAAGAGTCCCTCCCCAACTCTCCTGGAGCCCCTTCAGGGACTGGAAGGGGCTCCAAAGATCTCCCCGGAGCCTTCTCTTCTCCAGGCTGAACCCCCCAAAGCCTCTCAACCTGTCCTCACAGCAGAGGGGCTCCAGCCCTCGGAACATCTTCGTGGCCTCCTCTGGGCCTGCTCCATCCTCCATGTGGCAGGAGCAAGGGGCTGCGGGTCTCCTCAGGGATGGTTAGGCCTGGGATCGCAGTTCCCCGCAGCTCGTGGGCCTGCTGCCCCTGGGCTTTGGTGGAGGGGGGCGATGGAGGTGTTTTGGGACCTGGTTTGGGGCGGAGAGAGGTGCGGCCATGGCGCTGAACAGGAACCACTCGGAGGGCGGCGGCGTCATCGTTAACAACAGCGAGAAGTGAGGCACTGTCCCCTTCTCCCTACCCTCCGGTGGCCGGGGGGGGCAGCGGGGGGCTCTCTCCACCCTCTTCCCTTCTTTCCCAACTCAGGGTTGTGTGGGGAGCGGGGGAGGGGGGTTACTGAGGGGCCTGGGGGGGTGGTTTAACCCTCATGGTGCCGGCGTGTGTGGGCTCGTCCTCCCCTCTTCTCCCTGCGGTTGTTGGGGCTGTACGCATCCCCCTGCCCCAGGGGCTCCCCGGGGGTAGTGCTGCTAGGCCGCATCCGCAGGCCTTCCCTCCTGACACCCTTCCCTTCCTGCCCTCCTGGCTGCTGCTGGCTCGTACTGCTGTCCCCAGCCTCTCCCCTCAGCTCCGGGAGGGCTGGCAGAGCTCAGTCCCCAACCAGGTGATTCTGGCCTGGGCCCAAGCCTCATCCTTCTCTCGCCACCCAGTGCTGCGGGAGATGCTGCCCCTGCACTGTGCCTGTGCTGAAGAGCTGCCTGATTGGGGACTGCTGGACCTCCTGCCCGGTTTGGTTTGCTGGGTTCCTCGAGTGCACACCCCCAGAGTGTGTTTGGGAAGCAGCAGCAGTGTTGGGAAAAGGTGCTGGGCTATAACCATGGAAACAGAAAGCCTCCACAGAGCTGCTTCTGTCTGCATGGCAATGGGCTGTCCTCACCCTCTGTGTCTGCCAGTGTGTCTCGGTTCTGACGTGGCAGTCACCTGCTTCTGGGACAAAGGAGAAGTTCATTCTTCAGGGCTTCTTTCCATGAGGCCAGTGAAACGTTGGTACAGGAATTCTGCGCCCGACTTCCCGTTGGGATGTGACCCTTCTTAGAAGAATTTAGTAAGATCAACTCTGGGGCTTAGATTTGCATTCACTGAAACAAACAACAGCGGCAGCTCAATGTGTTACTGTTCCCAGTTGTCACCCTGCCTTGGATCAGGGGATGGGTACTGGCTGGCAGAAGGGAAAGGTGAGTGACTGAGGATGGTAACACGTAAGCTGCCGAAGATAACGGTGGTGGAGGTTTCTCCAGCTTTAGGGATTAGAGTCCCTAATGTGGATGCTGTTATGTCAATACAAGTTACCCTCTGTATCCATGCAAGGGTATTGCTCTGGCTTTAATCAGGTCAGTTTCTAATTGAGAATTAAGGAGTCAGTGCGGACAGCACGGGTCAGTGAAGTCTAGTGACGAGAAAGGGGAGCTTCTCTTGATCACATTTGTGTGACAGAGATGCTTAAGCTGTGGTTAGACCTCCAACAGCCGTGTTGCATAAGGCAGCCTGAGCAGTTCCTGCTTAGCGGTCCTTCCTCTGTTGTGTTGCTTGTGGTGCAGTAATGTGTGCACAGTAATTTCTGCACACTTGTGTGCAGAAATGCAACACCTTTAAAAAAAAAAATATATATATATATATGTCTCAAGAGGTTGATCAGTTCAGTTGACTAAATTCACTGCCTGGCTACGCAGACTGCAGTAGCTGTGCCAGCACACGGAGGAGGGAACACGAGGCTGAGAACAAGCAGCCAGTACTACTTAAATTGCTGTTGCCAACGTGAAAAAAAATGTAAGCCAGACTGATTTTGTCTGCCGAGTACTGGCCTGAGGATAAAGCCAGTTTTGGTAGGTCAGTAAACTTCCATGCGTATTGCACTTCTGCCTTGAGCTGTAACACTGTGACACCGTGTCTCCTCTCTCCTCTTGTTTGCAGCGTTTTGATGACCTATGATCACGTAGAAATTACCTTCAGTGATATCGAACCTATGCCAGATGCCTTCAAAGGGACCAAGAAAGGGAGTGTTTTCTTGACTCCCTACCGAGTAAGTAGTAAAAGGCTTTATCTTGTGTAAGGGGATAAGGGCTCTTTGCAATTCTGTATTTAAACGTCCTCAATGCACGAAAGTCGGGATAATCTACTACCCCTTGAAGTATGGCTCATCCTCTCCCTCTGGGGAGCATTATGAATTCAGCACACATCCTATCTATTTGTCAAAAGATAATAAATCTGATTAGTTCTTATACAGGCAGCTGTTTAGTCTACCAGGCATCTCGAGGACTGGAAATTAGCAATGGTCTGGAAATGCTGAATGCAAGAGCACAGCTACTAAATCAGAGCTGTGTGGAGCAGCGAGTTCTGTGGAAGCTGGGAGGAGTATTATCTGAGCCAGGGTAGCCTTCCTGGAAGACCTTATTGCCTCGGGGTGTCAGTTTACCCTTGTGGCTGTTCTGTGTAGCTTTTGGCTTGTGGAACTGACAGAGCTTCGGACATGGGAGTTTCAGTCCATCAAAAAGTCTCTTCAGCTAATAAATTTGGGCTGTGTTTCCTGTTCTGTTCTAAATACCCTTTGTAATTTGTATTTTCTTTTCAGGTTATCTTTGTATCGAAGGGAAAGGATGCAATGCAGTCATTCGTGATGCCCTTTTATCTGTTGAAAGATTGTGAGATTAAGCAGCCGGTCTTTGGAGCAAATTATATCAAGGGTACAGTGAAAGCAGAGGCAGGAGGTATGTATAGTGTGTATAGTGCAGATCTATGTTCTCTATCTTAGTTCAACTACACATTTCATAGCAGAGTATCCGGTGTAACCGAAACTGGATACTGACCAAATGGGTTTTTACAGCACTGCTAAAATATGTTTCTTTCTTTGAAACCAGCGGCTAAAAATATTCCCCTTATCTGCTCCCTTACAGTTACAATGAACAGATCTGTTCTGCAACCCATCTCATTCCTGCCCTCTGTGCAAAGGACTTAAGTTCACTCAGAACAAGTGATCTCACTGGGTAAACATCAGAGCAGTGTCAGGGGAGGGAGGATGTCATTTTGCTTTCGTCATTTGGGGTTACCTGTTAGTTCTGCATCCTGGCCCTCCTGTGCCAGACTCGTGATCCTTCCTGGATCTGTTTGGGTTTTCAGGTGCAGATCTCCAGAGCTCTGTTCTCCTGTTGTGCAATTCAAGGAAAGGCGTGCTTTTCCTATAGTGCATCTTAGCAGTAAAAATGGCACTTGGAAGAGAACGGACTGTCTTAAAATCAGGGAATCTTCAAGGGGTGGTTTCGTATTACGGTCAATGAGAAGGTTGTGGTAGACATTTTCAAGAATGTGTTTTTTTAATCACTGTTTTATGCTTCTGCTTTTTACCAAAGGTTTGGTAAACTCTTTCATCCCCAGCTTGGTTTAGTCTATTAGTTGTGGCACTGAAGTCACCGTGCTGTGCTTAGGGGACTTCAGTTTGTAATCCTGAAATCAGCATCGTAGTTTCTGTGTGGGAGCAAAGTGGGACCATCCAGCGTGAGAGGAAACCCAAGCAGTAATAACAAACTCAGTAAACTCTGTGAAAGGCAAACGCCTTTAGCTATATCTTTGTGAGTTTTCCCCAGAGGCTGACTCCTTTGAGGAAGTTGCTTTAACAGCCGTGAGGGTCTGGTTTAGCTCAAAAGGCTCTTTAATCTACACGTCCCTGTTTCAGCACTGACACAGCTTCTGCTTTGATGCATTGTTGGGACTCTGGGCTGTGTGTGTTTTTCTTTTTTAGTCTGTAATATGAGATGTCACTAATTTTTTTTTTTCTATTATTATTATCCTCACTTGAAATATCTTCCACAGACTCTAATGGATTTATGAGGACCGTGTTTTTCATTAAGCTCTTTGCTTCATTGGGCACTCAGACTCCCAAACTAATTTATAGCTGACAGTTAGGTGTAGTTGCAAAGGCTTTTTACCAAACGGGATTAACAAAATCCCTGTCTTCTGCACTAATCTTACACAAAGCCAGAGCAAATCCACACTCCTGATAGCCTGGTCTGTCAGCAACCGCTGTGGAACCAGGCACAGCTTTAGTAAGCTTTTGAATGTCTTCCTCATTGATGTTTCTTCAGGTGTCTCTTGACCTGAAAATACTGCCCAATGTGATATTTTTTTTTTCCTGATAATAGGGTAATTCTGCCACAGTATCTGCATATTTTTTTTCTTGGATATGTGGGATAAGCTCTTTAAAAAATTATATCCAGGGCAGGTAATAGAGGTAAAGCATGGAATATATAGCATTTCGATGCTATTTAGCATCGAAACAACCTCTCCTTCCATCTGAATTCTGTCTTTCTCCCCTGCAGGTGGCTGGGAAGGATCTGCCACGTTCAAGATGACCTTTTCAGCTGGGGGTGCCATCGAGTTTGGGCAGCGCATGCTGCAAGTGGCATCTCAAGGTACAGGAGTCGGGTAGTGGCTGCTGTACAGTTCCATGGTTTCACCTCACAAAAAGGGCAATTTTAGGTTACGACAGGTTGGATTCAAATCCACGTGAGTTCCAGCCTGTTTCTGAACTCACTTGCTGTAAAAACTCTTTTTTTTATATCCCAGTAACAGCAGATTTATGGGGATGGAGCTTGTTTGTTTTTCAGATAAGGATTCTTTAAGTTTGCTGGAGATCTTCGCCTGCATTTGATGCTGGCTTGATGATTTCATGAGGTCAGCTTTATCTTTACTTTTCCAGTCTCCAGAGGCGAAATACCCAACGGAGCTTACGGCTATTCCTATATGCCAAATGGATCCTATGCTTTTGCACCAGCTGCAGCTAATGGGGGCTACCCCTACCCACCACCTCCTCCTGGTAAGTCTGGGCATCGAGGATGGGGACTGCTCTAATTAGCAAAAGTTCAAATAGGCAAAAAGGGGAGGAAGAAACGCTGATTTTACATAATCTTTTAGATTGAATCCGATGCCTCGTGCAACTTTTCTTTCTGAGCTGAACTGTATTTGCCTTTGGCTTGTTTTGGCTGTGTGCTGTGACCCACCCAAAGGAGCTGAGTCTTTTTGCTGTGTTATTTCCTTTCCTGACAGAGTTCTATCCCGGCCCCCCCGTGGCAGCTGGAGACATGGGTTACATGCAGCTCCCACCCCCGCCGTACCCGGGGCCCATGGAGCCCCCCCCTGTCAGTGGCCCAGTTGGCCCAGACGTGCCCTCCACTCCTGCAGGTAAGAAGCATGATCGGGTGAATTAGCTCACAATGGTTTTATTACCCACGAAACAGACATTGTTTCTTGTCTGTTATCTCTTGGGGAACTTAGAGTCATCTTAGATGCTCCATTTAGAAGTTTAAATTGTTCGGGAGAGGGATGAAGGAACTCCCCTAATCTCCAGCCTTGTATATCCAGCTCAGTCTGGAGGCCAGCCTGATCCAGGGTGGATACCATTAGTGGATATTTTGCAGCTGGTTTTATTCTTGTGGTATTAAAAACCACAGTTTATGATTCTTCTGTTGTGATAATCTTGCTCTGTTAGATGAATATAAAGAAATCGATGGTGAAATAAGTTTCTGTTCCATTTTAGTTAGTTATGTGGCTTTGCTGATATTTGCTCCCCCTTCCCCCATTTCGCTCTAATCTGGCTGCTTTTGCTTAAATTATATTAAACAGAGGAATAGATAATGGAAAGGGGCTGGCGAAAAGTCAGTCTCATTTTCACTCATTTGGGATTTATCAAAATTATTTCAAACACGGTCTTAAAAGGGTTGGGAACCAACCCAAACAAAAGACCGTTTGTGGTTGGACACAACCATAGATCTCTCAAGGATAATTTCTTATCCAGACAAATATCTTTAACTTCTCTCTTTTGTTTGAATAAAAAAAGTCATCTTTGAACTATGATTTGGAAAGTGGCACTGATCCAGGTGGTTTTACAAGACTCTTGTATTCTGCAGAAATAGAAGACCTGAATTATCTTAATAAAGTACCATCTTTAAACTGTGAATCCCCTGAGCTGCTATAAACTTGTGCTGATTTTTGTTTTGTCTTGTGTTCTCACTCCCAAGAAAGATAGTTTGTTGACTCCTTTTTTAAGGGTTATTGTCTGTATTTAGGCAAAACAGCCGTTAGTGTTTATTTGTTGGCCAACAGGCAAGTCCCAGGTGACATCTCCATACTAAATCTTGGAACTGTTTCACTCTGACTTGACAGTTTTGTGGCAACTGAATCTTTAGTCCTTGGAGGAGATAATGCTCAATTGTGTTCATTGTAGCTATTTTGCAACTCAAGCCTTGGTCAAAGAGTGCTCTGTTAGTAACGCTTGATGGCTGAGAATATGTGGAGTTTTTGGTTGATTGTAAAAGTTCTCTGTGTGTCACCAAGTTGGTAACTTCTCTTTCTGTGACAGCTGAGGCAAAGGCTGCCGAAGCCGCTGCCAGTGCTTACTACAGCCCCGTCAACCCACACAACGTCTACATGCCCACGGTAAGTCCCTGGGTTATTCTGGTGTTGCAGCGTGAGCCCAAGTGTGTATTTACCAGCTGTTTCTCTCAGTGACAGAATCACAGAATCTTCTAGGTTGGAAGGGACCTTAAAGATCATCTTGTCCAACCGTCAACCCAACTGACAAAAATAGACACCCACACAACAAACAAGGAGCATCATCACTAAACCATATCTCCCAGCACTACATCAACCCGTCTTTTGAACACCTCCAGGGATGGTGCCTCAACCACCTCCCTGGGCAGCCCATTCCAACCCCAGTTCCCTCAGCCTCTCCTCATAAGACTTATTCTCCAGACCCCTCACCATCTTTGTCGCCCTTCTCTGGACCCGCTCCAGCACCTCAATGTCTTTTTTATGGTAGGGGGCCCAAAACTGGACAAAGCAAAGACGCAGCAAAGTTTGTCTAAATTGATTTTCATTGGTGGTGTTTGTGGTTTTTGTTTTGTAGGTTGGTTTTTTTTATTACCTTAGCAATGAATTGAGAGTCTTTTATTGTCTTTATTTCAGGACCAGCCACCCCCTCCTCCATACTTCCCACCAGAGGACAAGAAAAACCAATAAGCTAACAGAGAACTTCTCCACAACTCATTGCTTTCTTAACTTCCCACTTTGGCAGAATATTGGGGCATGGTCCATAGCACTGAGGAGTAGAGCCTTCCCCCGAGGCAGGTAGCTTTCCTGGACTCTAGTGGTAGATGTGTGCAGAGAAAGGGGAGAGATTTGGGCAGCCTGGGTTCCCTCGCAGAGCTCTGAGGGGTTGCTGTCCTGCCGCAGTGTTCCCTTCTCCCTCTGCTAGAACTGGAGGTTCTCTTCACCTGTGATCATTTCCCTTATCTCTGTTTCTTATGATACTTAAATTATACCTCTTTAGAGTAAGCAACGGCTCCAAACTGATAATTAACTTGCTCATAATATGGAAACAAGGCTCTTGGGCGGAGCTGAGAGTGTCTTGAATTTATCTTAGTTTGCAGCCAAGAGCATCTCTGGACACAGGGATGTCTCTGGGTGTTCCTCTCAACCCAGAGTGTCACATCCAACTTTTCCCTCTGCTACTGAGAAAGGGCTTCAAAGGGAACCTTTGGGATCTCAAAGGAAATAGATATCCATTATATGTTTGAGAGAGCTGTTAAACATCCTTGAGGGGTTTTTTTTTTAGCTAAGTCATTCCTGACAATCGTAGCAAATAATCTGGTAGCCCTCCAAAATTCCCTGCTGTGCACTCCGTACGATGACACTGACAAGCTTCCCTTCTTAAGAAAACATACTACTCTTTACAGGGTTAATTAGTAGCATCTAACTCGTTATAGATCACACGGGAACACTAATTTTCTGTTGTCTCTTCCAGTTAGACACGTGGGCTTGAGATCACTAAGTCCTGAATATTCTCTTTATTAGTCTATAATGCACTTTTTTTTTTTTTTTCTTTCCTGTTAACACAAGTTACACTTTTTGGCCAGTGAAGCGTTTTACTGTTGTGATTTAAATGTTAATTAATAGCTAATGGGGAGAAAATAGTTGCTTTGTTTCTGCCCTGGATGCACTTGAGAGAATATGCAAAAGGTTGGAATAAGCTGTTAGGTACAACCGAGCTGCTCATATGAAGGTTGTTTAATGCTGTTCCTGGCTCAGCTGTGAATTTACTTCCCAGTAACTCGACCATGGGCCCCTTGGACTGAGGGTTCGAGCGTTTCCTTTCCGTAGCATTGATTAATTGAGCTCATTAACGACGACTCTTAATATGCAGAACCTCTGCAGGACCGATTGGAATCCAGGTTGTAAAATGTTGCACAAATCAGACCTTTTTCTGACTTCTGACAGCTGAGAGAGTGAAAATCCTTCCCGGCAAGTGTGAGGAGAGCTGGTGTGCTAGGAAACCCCTGAGACTTGCTGCATGCAGCCTGCTTGGAGAGATACAAAAAGGTCCACCTCCTGTTTTCTTTTTGTTTGAGTCTCGCTGATTAATCAAATTGCTACTGTCCGTGCACTGACTTTTCTAGAATTGCTACTGCAGTGATGTAAAGAAATGGTTATTTTAAAAAAAAAAATATTTATTTTGAAAATGTTTGATTAATATATTAATGTGAAATGACTTTTGAATGCAGATTTGTTTTGCCGAGACTGTGAAGTAAAGAGAAATCAGCTCAAAACTCAGTGTTTGAGTATTTATATGTGTGTTAGTGGGCAAACTTGGTGACTTACTACCTTTGTGTGGGGAGAGGGAGAATTAAACAGCAAAATCTCTTTGGATTTTGTTTTTGGCTGTTCATTGGTGACATTAGTCACTTGATTTCTCTTGGCTGACGTTGTGAAATGAAAATAAGATGTTAAAATATTTTGACAAGCACCCATTTCACAATACGTGTTGTAAATGGGTGAGGTGACAAGTTAATGCTTTACCCAGATGTATCACCCAGGTGTTTTTTTCAGACCAATTGTCCTTGTAAAACTTAAAACCTATTGCTAGAAGAAGCAGTCGAGGGACACAGCATAGTTGTTGCCTCTGAAATATGTCTGTTGTTAGAATCAATCCATAATTTTATCTTTTTTTTTTTTTAACCCAGAGTCCTGGGTTGCACTGGTGTGTGTCAAACAAGGGATTCAGAAGCTGCTCTACAGGTAACATCCAAAGCCTGTGTGGTTTTGTTCCTCTCTGAGCTGGGACTGGCCACCTTCATTCCCTGGAACTCCCTGAACAGCCAGGGTGGCTGTTTCCCAGGTTCTGCTCTCCTCCTCCATGGCTTTGGCCTCTCCCGTCCTCCCACGTGGCTGTTCTACTGCATTTTAGGGCTGCCTGAGCCACTTGGGTTTGTTTTCTGTAGCAAGAGGTGGGTGGAGAAGGAAAGTATTAAAAGAGAAAATGTTACAGCCCAGTAGGAACCTAATAAATCCTGTTCTGTGAATTAAATTACTTCCAAGCGAGGTTTCCTGAGTCACATCAGTCTGACTGTAAGATGCTGCAGAAACCTCTCTGTTCTGTTCTCCCTCCCAGTTACCCTCTACTCCTGGACAGATAATCCTAGAAAACACAGATTGCAGGAAGTTTCCAGGTCTGTTGCCCAGCACCAGTCGCCGTGAGGTTGGCAACAATCCCCACAAACCCATGAGGTTTTTGTTTTGTTTTGTTCTGGTTTTTAAGTCTTTTCTCAACGGAGTGTGCTTGAGAGAAGCAGCACTGAGACAGTCTGCTCTGAGGAGAGCTTGGCTGTGTGGCTCAAGCTGAGTGTCTCTTCCCCTAGTGTGGACAAGATCTGCAGACAGACCATGGGGTTTGCTGCCTGGAAAAAGGAAAATACGTTGCAAGGATGAGTCAGGCTGGAATAAATGAAATATTCCTCTCCTCAGCATGGGGATTAGTGAGCTACATCAGCAGCGTTTGAGCTGTGAGCTTTTTGGAGTGGTTTGTTGGTGAATGTCCCCGTTCCTCCGGGCCGGGAGCTTGGCACCTCACGGGAGGTGAGGAGGAATAAGCCAAAATAAAGAGATTGATGATGGTCCTTTCAGTGCGTTTGGAGCTCGCTGGTGGGAAGTGAAGCTCGTTTGGGGAATGGCTGAAGCTGTGGGGCCAAAAGGCCGGGCAAGTCACAGTCAGCACAGCTCAACCCAGTATTCGGTTGAGTGGAGCAGCACGATTCAGAAGGGTGCAGATTTTGGGGAGATAGATGCCAGTGAGGATCCCTGCCTTGCTTGTTAAAATCTGAAAGCCCAAATTTGGCTTAAATACTCACTGCCCTCTCCCCGATGGGAAGCGGGAGCTGTGCTCTGCTTTGGAAAGGGATTTAGGGAGGGTGGAAGGGTCAGCCGGTCCTGCTGCCCACGTGGAAAGTTTGAAATATTAAAGCAGGGAAATGCAATTGAAAGTCTGCGTCTGGTCGGGAAATGGGAGTAGGGCAGGAGGAAATGTTGGGCATTAATGTGTCTCCAGAGCTGGTTCCTGCTTGAGTGAGTAACCAGCCGTGCAGCAGAGAGGCTCTCATGGGAAAACTAGATTGGTACCATTAAATTCCAATATTTGGATGGATTCTACTGAAGAAAAAGATGGGGCACAGGGAACAGTTAGGGTTGGATCTGGTTAATCTTTTGCCGTAGACAGGTTTTCTACCAGCCTTCCAGCTCTGTCTCCTCAATCCGACTGGGGCTTTTCATTTGAGAAGCCTCTCACCACACCTCGTGGCTGCTTCCCTCCCTCATGGGGCTGTGGTGTAATGGGGTGTTTCTCAAGTGCTTTTGAGATCTTACGCAAAAAATCCTGTTGCTGCAGGAACTGCAGGTACTCCTTACAGATTGCCTGCTCTCGGCCCTGAAACCTTGCTGATGTCCCTGGGGGCTGGGGAAGGTCTTTACCCTGGAAGGACGGGGCGTGAGTGTGCTTGCCCAGGATTGCCTCCAGCTGAAGGAGGAGACCAAGCCCTCCTCCTCCTCCTCCTCCTCCTCCTCCTCCTCCTCCTCCTCCTCCTCCTCCTCCTCCTCCTCCTCCTCCTCCTCCTCCTCCTGCCCAGATTTTACCTTAAGCACTTCTATATTGTGCAACTTATTACCAAAAAAAAAAAAAACCAAACCAAAAAAAACCAAATTGTTCTTTTGCATTAATAGCTGGGCCTTAAGCACTTCTATATTGTGCAACTTATTACCAAAAAAAAAAACACCAAAAAACCCCAAATTGTTCTTTTGCATTAATAGCTGGAGGTGTGCATGGAGCAGTCATGGGGATGGTGGTTAAGCCAGCCTGGCCAGCACCCACCTGCCCCACGTGTGTGTCTTCCTCTGGGGACCACAAGGACTCCCCACCGCTCTCCCAGCAGCAGATGGTCAAATTGTAGCTCTGCCCCGTGATGGACACTGTGATTTATGAGCTACGGCTTGTGGTGCTGGCTCCCTTTGCAATCCAGAGGTTGCAGGAGGCGTGGGGTGAAGTTTGGACCCAACTGCTGCCTGGGCCAGTCCTCACCGGTGAGTGGCTGGTCTTGGCTCATGTGGTCCCATCACAGGCACCTCCAGCCCTAAACAAGGGCCAGGTTGGTATTTGGAGATGGTTTTTGCTTAAGACAGGCTGTGACCAAGAGGTGGTTTCAGGTTTGAAGCCGTCCAAAGTGGCAAGTGTGGCGTTTTTTTGGTGGGTTGGCATGAAATGCAGGGCGGAGATATTTTTTTTTTATTTTATTATTATTATTTTTGGGCAAGGGTTTTCTTTGCAGCCCTGCCGGGTATTACTCACCCGTCTGCTCCCCTGCGTGAGTCAGCTCCAGGAGCTGCCATCATGAGACTGAACTGGAAACTGGTATTTCAGCACCCTCCTTGCTCAAGGGCTGGCCGTGACGGTGCCGCCCCCGAGAGAGGCCAGAACGGGAGGTGAAGAGACCCCGGGTGACGGCGAGCAGGAGCAGGGACTGCTGTGTCTCAGGACCCCAATCCATCTCTGCAACACCCTCCTGGCCACCCACCTCCCGTCTCCTACAGCCTCTGGATACTGGAGCAAAAGGTATTGGCTTGGGCTCCATTTGCCAGCTTGGTTTGCTGAATCTCACCTTTCTAAACTTTTCCTTTCCCTTCCTCAAGTCCAGCCTCTCCCTCCTCCTCCTCCTCCTCCTCCACGTACTTTGCTCCGTAAGGGCTGGGCTCTGGCTGGGACAGGGTTTGCTCTCCCCACGGTGCAGATTGGCTGCAATATTCCACACGATTCCGTGTTTTGGCGTGTCTGGCTGGGATCTGGGGGTGGTGGGAGGGGTTCAGCCCTGCAGCCTCCTCCCATCATCCAAGCGTGTGGCTCCGCAGGGCTTGGTGGGCTCCTCAGGGGGCTTTGACACGTGTGTTGGGGCGAGGCGGTGGTGGAGAAACCATGGTGGGACCATTTTGGTGCTGAAGGTGGTCAGTAATTAGTCAGGATAGGCATGAAGGTGCTTAATGTGGACCATGGGGCATGCCTGGTACCCAGATGTCACCCCCTAAACTTCTTCCACTTTCACAGGCACCCACCTCAAGCAGGTCCTGCTGCTCTGAACTCAGTGCCCCAAAACTAGCAGACGAAATGACCTCGATACATGTGTCCCCCCCTTTCCTGTCCCTGTGGTGAGAGCCATTGCTGCCCCGTCCCTGCGGTGAGGGGGTGATAAATCCAGCGCCTGACACCGAATTCATCTCTCTGGGAGAGGGAGGGGGATGAAATATGGGCTGTGTGGAGGTGGCACATGGCAGTGATGGAGAAGACCTTTTAAAGCCTGTCACGGGGCGCCCCGAGCCAAACGAATGGCACCCGGGTCAATACCTGAAGTTGGTGACCTTCTAAAGGACAAGGCAGGGTGATGCCTGGGCCAGGGGGACACACCTGTGGTGTCCTCCTGCCTTCTGCAGCCAGGGTGGTGGCCAGGCAGGTCAGCCCTGTGGTCTGGGGGCCAGGGGGGTGGCAGGGAAGTGGGATGAGGGTGGGCAGGACACGTCGTGCTTTCCCCTGTGGGACCCTGGGGAGCTGGAGCAGCTCCGAGCAGAGCTTGGCATCAGAGTGGTGGTTCCTCTGGAGGGGCTGGGGTGGCCAGTGAAGCCCCCCCACCGGGTGACCTGGGTGATGACTGCCTCATGGGCAGCATGGCCGGAGTCATCCTCACCCCCCTTGCCATGGAGGCAGCAGGTCTCATGCTGAACCCGTGCTCCCTCCTGGGGGGAAACGACAGCTTTCACACCCACCCTGCCCCACATGCGTGGCTGGAAGTCCTCTGTGTTCTTCCCAGAAGGTCAGGGTTACCCTTGGTGTCCTTCTAAGATGTCCCAAATGGGGTGGGGGATGCTGTGTGTCCCCCACCTTCTTCTTCCCGGGTACCACTGCTTTTTGCAAGGTGCACTCAGAGGGCTCAGGAAGGAAAGATGTGGGGTTAGGGCAGAAATAACTAAAAGGCCCCAAAATAGACATGGAAAGGAAGGAACTGACGTCCCTCCTGGGTATGAAGTCGCTGGTCCCAGAGCACACAGCACCCACAGGTTCCTGGGGGGATGCCCCGGCCGGGCAGCCCTGAGGAGGGGGAGCAGGAGCATCGCTCTTCTCATTTGGAAACCACTTCCCTCTCCTCCACCTTGTGCTCTTAACCGTGCTCCTTGCCAAACTGGGGCAGGCGCAGCCAGGGTTTGCAGAGTCATCGGACCCCGTGTTTAAAAGGAGAAG